CATAACTGCGGAAGTTCAGGCAGTATGTTCACCTGGAGATAAAAGCCAGCAGGGGGAGGATAAGGCTTGTTGGAATTACATAAGGAAGAGAGAGAGAGAGAGAGAGAGAGAGAGAGAGAGAGAGAGAGAGAGAGAGAGAAATAGAAAGAGGTGAACAGAAGTACAAATGTCTGCAAATTTTCTAATACTCATGTAATTTTTATGAATCCTTTTATCTCAGGAACCTTGTCCCTCACCACTAGTTTTACATAAAATATATCCTCTTGATTTATACTTCCCATTCAACATTATTTCACTCAGCTTTTCATAAAAGAAAAAATGTTTCAGTGTCATGACTAAATCTCAAGGGTCAACACAGCCTGTGATACACTGGAGGTAGAATTGTGCAATAAAGGAATAGGCCTGCACATCTTCAGTTCCATCATTCAGCATTAGGATATTCTTTAAATACAGCATGCCGGCAGTTCATGCTCACAGTTTTCATCACAGCAGATGGCTGAGATGGCTTAAGATCAACTAATTTAGAGGACTGCGGGATGAGAAGATTCCAAAAGCCTTTTCTTGGAGCAAATTCCTGGGATTGGGAGGTGGGAACACAGGCACTAAGGATACAGAATTTTTATGGGCTGTGACTAGTCCTGGAAGGCATCAGGCTCAGCCAATAGGAAAGTGTGGGCCTTTGCAGATAATTTTGTTTCCATTGCAGTGCTGAGCCCAGGAGATGATTTTTGCAGGAGGGGATGGCTTTCAGGGAACTTGACCTACAAGCCTGTCATGGAAGCCAAGGTGAAGAGGAAGGGGAAGTGGATGAACAGCTGCCAGGACAGGTGGAAGAACATGAGTACTATGCAGGTCACTCTGTGCAGAAGACCCCTGAGGTGCCTGTCCTCATGGCGGACACATATAGGGCCAGCAGTCAAGAGGCTGAGGGAGGAAGATCTCCCTGAGTTGTATACCATCCTCCACTACAAACTTGGCCTCTTAGAAGGAGGGGAAAATGCAAGAAGCACCCAGCCCTGCGAGTGCACACAGGACAACACTGAGTGCATACAGGGGAGAGTGATTGTTCAGCCTAGAGGTAAAATCACTGTAGCCTGGGCAGGCATGAGAGCCTGGAGGCATCAGCTCCTTCTAGGAGAGTCCTGTGTGTCATGAAGGAGGCAGTAAGTGCTGAAGAGCTGAACAGGGCCAGTGTGTGTGTGTCCCAGGGCAGATGATCTAGGATGCAGAGCAGGGCATGGTCAGGGAGAGATGGCCTTGCTCACACTTAATTCTGTTTCCTTTTTCCTGTCAAGCCACCAACCTGCTCTAGGCTTGCATTCCCTCATCTATACAATGAAGAGAGGCCTGGGGTTGGGGCACAAGCCTGGAATCCCAACACTGAGAAGCTGAGGCAGGAGGGTCTCTGTGAGTTCCAGGCCAGCCTGGTTCATGGTGATTTGAAGGCCACCACATATTTCATGGTCAGAATGCATCTCACAAATCAAATCAAGAGAGCATACTGCATGTTCATAGAGGTCTGCTATTGCACATATTGGCTCCCATAGTCTCTACACTTAGCCTAATGTCTGCCAAAACAAGCACACTGTTCCTCTGACAAGAGCCTTCTGGCAAAATCCCACAAAGACTTTTAGAATATCATGCCTCCAAAATCCAAAGACCCTATCAAAAATTAACATTTGAGATGAACAAACACTTCTCAGATGAACACATAGGAATGGCAAATAAATACATGTAAAAATGTTCTACATCATTGTCCATGTGAGGATTGCAGATTAAAACAACACTGAAATTCCTTATCACCCCAGAAGAAGAGCTATCATCAAGGAGTCAACAAGTGAGAAATGCTAGGCAGGCTGTCGGGAAAAGGAAGCTTTAACACTGTTGGCAGGAGGGCAGGCTGGTAGAACCATTATGGACATAGTGTACAGATTCCTCAAAAATGCTGGGATTAGTAGTTGTAGTCAACCCAGCTATTCCCATGTGGGGTATTTATTTGGAAGAACTGAAAACATCATACTACAGTGATAATTGTGCCCCCATGTTTATAGCAGCACAATTTATCACAGCTAAATTTTGGAAGCAACCCAAATGCCCCACAACTGAGGAATGGATAATGATGTGATATTTTTTGACAATGTAGTATTATTTAGCTATGAAGAAGGAGATGTTTGAGAATTTTAAGGGTAAATGAATGCAGGTAGTGATGATACTCTTAAGTGAAACAAGTTAAACCCATCTGTGCAAACATCGTATGGTGTCCTTAGCATGGGAATCTGAAAGAGAAAAATTAAATCTGAAGGGTACAGTAGATATTAAAAGGGGAAATTTACCTGTTGAAAAGAAGCACAGTTATATCAGGATGACTGGGGGTTTTGTCATGGGACACTGAGAAGATGGGCATCAGGGAGATCCTGCACTCCACAGCTGAGCAGTAGGGTCACGGGACCCAGATGTAAAGGCAGGCTGTTCTTAAATGATTGAGTTCTGTTTCTCCTCTAAGAATTAGTTTCTAAATGAGGAGTGGTGTATACTAAGCACTTTACAAGTCACAAGCAAGTGACCATCCAAGGAATCTCCAACAGGATCACTTTCCTTTCTTAGAGTAACTTATATGCAGTACTACAAATAAAAGTACAGACCCAGCAGGTGAATTCCAGGGCCAGGGGCTTTGAGATGGAGAGCTGCATCTTCCCCAGTCCTTGGCAATGCTTACACCACAGGTGCAGAGAACCTTAATGCCTGGGAGGGGATCTAACACCCTCAGGGAAGGCGCCTAGCCCACAAATCCTGTGCTGTGCCAGCTGTCCCAACACGTAGCTCACTAGGTGAGTAACCCATTGAGTAAGATATTCAACATCAGCCACTTCAGAAAGTGAAAGCCACCAAGTGAAAGCCAGAGAATCATTCAGACAACACAGGTAGACTTAGGAGGAACAGGCCTTAGGCAGCAAATAGAAAAAGACCAATAGCACACTCTGCTGCTCTTTGACAACTATAACTGACAGAGGCAAGAGGAAAACAGCACTAGAAATCAGCAGAGCCCAGCATGCGCTACATGGGACACAGCTCTGCACCCTGGGAGCCGGTTCCCACTGTGACTGTGGCATTTGTCTGATATCATGTCTAACCCCAGAGAGCATTTGCAGTCACCACTGAACCTTAGCAGTGGCCCCTCGCTCACTTCCCCTCAGGACTGTGGAGGTCAGGGATCCAGGGTTTATTTTAAAGGACAGAGAACTGAACATTACCATTAATATTAAAGAGGGGGCATTAAACAATCCCCATGGCCCACAGAGGACAGATGTGTAAGGCCTCTTGATGGTGACACAATGGAGTCCCTTCTTGACAGGAGACCTCATCATCCTTCTCCTGAAATGATATTTTATCCAAGTGTAGCCAACCCCACAAATAATGGGAAAACAAGTCAGTTCAGAAATGACTACTTTATTGCAAATCTAAGTGCTACAGGGGTAACTACATGAGGGAGAAACATGTTTGGCTATGGGATTCCCAGCAACACACAAATCCAAGCACAATCCACTTTCACAAGAAGGACGGTATCCTACAATTGCTCAGCCTGGTCATCCATGAGAAAGCCATCCAGGAAATCAGGTGGTGCGTTCTGGAGCACTGCTTACTTCTGACTTCTCCTATACTTGGCTCTACGATTGTTAAACCAAACCTGAGATCAGAGAGGAAAGCAGAGAGTGTTAGGAGATGGAACTGTTATCATAAAGGAAAAACAGCATGTGTTCCCATACAGCTGACATATCCATATCGGGAGGGGAGCTTTTGCTTCAGGTGCAAATACCTTAGAGGGCTAGGGGTGGTCATCCCTGCAGGAACAGAGCCCTGACAACCTAGGGTAGGGGGTTCCTTCCTTTGCATCAGAAAATGAAACTAGTTCTAGGAAAGACACTAAAACCTCCCCTTTCACAGCCTTACTGGACATTAGTTCTACTCCCTGCTGATGCACAGGCCCACAAGTCTCTGTCTGTCCCCTGAAACTCATTGTTGTTTAATGTTTTCTTCCCTTATTTGGGTATAGGCTGAGAGCAGAAGCTATTTCAAAGCCTAATGTTAGCTCCATGGCTTCTAAGCACATGCAGCAGCACAGCATCCTGGCTGTTGACTGCACCCCACCCTTCCTGCTGGGAACCAACATCCCTGCTGATCCACCTGGACATGCACATCCCAGCCCTGCTGCCCAAGACACAGAACAAGAGGTGCATTCCAGGAAGATAAGCCAAGAAATAGGCAGTCCTAGGGGTCACAGGACCGATCATCTAAATCTCTCCTACCCATTGCACTGCAGCAGACCAGGAACCGTGTGTTATGTCACTGTCCTCTGCACACCCACACAGCCTCCCAGGTCTGGAAGTTTCCAAAGGCTTAAGCTCTTGGGAAGCTACAATGCAAAATGCAATGACACAAGAAGCATTCTGTTCTATATCCCCCAAAGCTGTTTCCCAACTAAAATACAGCACATGAAAAAGCCTAGATTAAGGGAGGTATAGTTGTGCAACCATGTAATCCCAAGAGTCAGGAAGCTAATGTGGAATAACTGTTGTGAGGACCTAGCCATCCTGGCTGACATAGTGAGTTCAAGGACAGCCTGACCTGAACAGTGAGACTCTTTCTCAATGACCACTCAGGAAAATGAAGAGCAAGAAGCCCAGAGCAATACAGCTGTTGGAGAGGCAACAAAGTGTCTACTGTTGACATTGGCACCACAGCACTGAGGTGCACAGGCCACTGTCCATGTGAGATGATAGCAGGTCTCTCTCCCAAGCCTCCTTCCCCATGAGTCCTATTACTTTGCACAGGAGAGGGGACACCATGGGGCAGTTTAGTAGGAACTTCAAGCTGAGACATAAGACATGCTGAAATCTTGCTCCTTCATTAGTTTGCTGTGGCCTCTTTCCCTCAGGACACTGTTGAGAGGCCCACAACCATGGAACAGAGCACGTACCTGAACTCCTTGGATTATCTGTTCCTGTGCACTGTCAGGCAGCCTGAGAACATGTTCCCCAACTCCTTAATCCTCTCAAAGCTGAGGCACCCTGCACTAAGCCTGGCCTGGGGCACTAGGATGCCAGGACTCAGTGTCCTGTTCTGTGCTGCAACTTTCCTGGATCCCTGCCCCAGATCCTCAGCCCACTGTCTCCACCAGTCTTTGGTATACACTCTGCAGCAACGCTAATGATGAGCTCATACCGATGGCTCCTCCAAGCCCTAGGATTCATGGGGAAGCTACATGCACCCTTCAGTCTCAGGTTGGGAGTATCTGAGCCCATCAGCTAACCTCATGTTACCCATCATAGCCTGATGCACTCAGAGATCCTGGAAATTAAAGTATGTACAAATCTCCCTTGGAAGAAGGGCCTCTCCACCAAAGTGTCCTACAAAACTCACCTCCAGAAAGTAGTACCATGGAAAAGAAAAACTTGGAAGTCTCCAAGATAAAAAAAATGATTCACAAAAAGACTCAAGAATTTGGAGATAAATGTTTGCAGCTTTTTTACAGTATGTCTTTACCCTTTCGTGTCTCTGAGACTAACCAAACTCAGTTCTATGTCACTCTTTCTGATTATTATTCTCTTTGCTCTAGTTTCTAAGGCCTACCATCAAATGCTCCACTGCAACAAGATTCTGACAATTTGGGGAAATGTGTGGCATGGAGATTGAGCTATATGCAGTGAAATGTAAATTGTGAGCACCACCATCTCCATCACCTCAGCAAGGCTTGCAGGAAGAGCAAGGGGAGGCAAGTAACCTATGGAGCTGCCTTCCCCCATCATGTTCAGCTTGACCAGATGTCCATTCCTCGCTCTTAAGTGGATTTCATGGGAGTCTCCTGTTCGTTCACAATGTTTATGAGTTTGTGATTGAGCCTCCAGCTCAGTGGTAGAGCCACATTTTGTGGGTATGAGCTGCTGGCTTCTATGCCCAGTGCCAAAGGGCAAAGGAAAGGGAGGTGACCAGAAAAGCAATGAACAAATCAACATTAGACTTATGTTTACCAAGGTGGTTAGGAAGGGATTCAAGCAATTTCCTTCCAAAGAAATTCTTTTCAAACTTTCATCCTCTGCAACTCATTTGAGTATTTTCAGGTCAGATTAAGTCCCAACATGAGGGCGCACAGAAGGGCATCCGAAAGGGCAGCAGGTCTCCCAGAGGGAACTTCACTTGGTGAGAGTATAGACCTGTTGACATCCCTGTGTTAAGTAGGGATACAATTAGAGTGCTCTGTATCACATGCGTACATATAGCCTGAGTTGTGCACACAGAGTAAGAGAAGCAGTTTGGTTTTTTGATTGGTTCTGTTTTCTGTTCTTTTGATTCACTATTACAGATTCTAAGTCTCTTTCATAGTGAGAGGGATCCTCAAGCCCACTGATTGTGTGCTGTTTTCTCCTAGCAAAGCAGTGTAACTCCAACCTTACTGATTACACTGGGAAAGGACCAAGGATAACAGAATCTTCCTCACGTCCTGGAAAGGACACAGATGGAGAAACCTGTATGGAGAATGACTGACAATCCAATTGGCCTTTCTAGAACTCACTCACCTTCACTCTGGATTCAGGCTCTTTCAGGACTGTTGCGAGCATCCTTCTGTGGAGAGAAATCAACAAATGTTGTGCATTTCGTGTTTGGATGAAGGACTCAATGTTCTGTATGAATGAATGATCACATACTCATTTCCTGCTAAGTTCCCCATTTGAAATCACCCTCAAGTACTCCAAGTATTTCTTTCTGTTGCAAAATATAAGATCTCTTTTGAACTGTGTTGATGTTCTCACCAAATTTAAGTGGGCAGCCAACATACATAGCTAATTTTATTTGACACCAGGAAATGAAGTCTGGACCTTCCATGTGCTAGGCAGACACTTGGGCCTGTGGGCTCTGTGCCCAGCCAATTCAGAGCTAACTCTAATGTAATGTTGTGAAAAATGAAAGGAAATGCAAGCACCTAGGCTGCAAGCTGGAACAAATATTAAATGCAGGGTGCTTACAGGATGATACTGTCTCATTCTATGGACAAGGAGTCCACAGAGAGTTTATTTAAGAAACACCCACTAATGCAGGGAACACAGAAAAATAAAGCAGCTTGTGGCAAATGTGCATATTTCTCTGAGTCAATAAAAAAAAAACACATGGGGACAGTGAAAAGAAACCCACAGTGTGGGAGAAAATATTGGCCAAGTATGACCCATAAAGATACAGAAACATCACTCCCAGTCAGTAAGTGAAACTCGGCAGCCAGCTTTAGGCACTAGAAAGGACTCAGTGAGACATTTCGGTAATGAAGGGATAGAGATGACCAGGAAGCTGGAGAAGACATACTGCAAATGACCACAAGGGACATGAAGTACAGCCATGTCTGAAGCAGTGTCACAGCCTGGGCAATAACACACCTGCCGAGCACAGGAGACACTGGATCCCTCAGTCATTCTGAGGACAAATGACAACCTCCGCAGCCTCTCCTGCAAACAGCCTGCTGGGTCTCTAAGCATAAGCACGAACTCTATCCTGCAGTGAAGCCGTTTCTCAGGAGGTCTCGCAGACTGAAAACCTGCACATTTCCAGCTGTGTGTCAGGCAAGCTCACAACAGCACTATGCACAAAACCAAGCACTCCACAAATGAGCAAGTAGCAGCATTCAATGTGCCAGGGACAATAACTGGCCTCAACACAGAAGGAGCTTCTGATACCTGCTGCAGCATGGATGCGCTGTGGGGATGCCTGAAGCCCCCAAGCAAGGATCAAACAGGGTAAGACTTCACATAGATCTACTTCCTAGACAACTCAAGCTCATAGAGTAAAAGTGTAAGATCATCACTGGGAGGAGCTGCAGGGAAGGGGGTACTAGGAGGTGTGTCCTGGAAATTGTTTGATTTTTGAGATATGACAGTGCTCTGGGCCCAGGATGCTCAGCCACAATGCAATAGATATTGCTGACGCCTGCCTTCAAATTCTGGTAGCAAAGTTTTAGTGTGCATCTGATTGCAGAACACATAAGGAACACAAAGCAGTAGCCACCAGTCAGTTTTTAGACTGGGTTCACACCAGGACCCAAGATAATCCTGACCTTACTCCACTCATGGAGCCATCTCTCCCAGAGAACAAAGACCGGCATGCGAGGACTCCACGTGCTCTCTGCTCAAGAACAAAAACAGGACTGCAGGAGACCGAGAAAGGCACCTGGAAATGCATCTGCACCCCACTAGAGCCTGGGAGCACCCCAAGGCAGGAGCTTACCTTGTGACCGCATCCAGGTAGTGAGTGTCCTGGAAAACTCTTTCCATTTTCTGCACCTGCCACTCCTGGAAGCGGAAGTGTGGCTTCCTAGGCCTGCCCCGCCCTTGACCTTCGGCATCTGCAGGAGCCTGCTGGCCCGCAATAAACTGCTCAGGCTCCTCGTGATCGTCATTACTGCCATGAGCTCTATCCAGTTGGCTCACCTGGACCTCTTCACCGGGATACTGGCGAACAATGTGTGCATAGTGGGCCTCCTCGTGTCCAAAAGTTTTTCGAATCACCCGCAGAACCTCGGCTGCTGAGGGGACACCTCGTTCCTGCCAGGCATTGGTTTCTTCGATCCAATAATCCACGTCGAGGAGGAGGCGTTCGCAGTACTGGCGATTGTACTCCATGCCGGCAAGGCACCGAAAGTCACAA